ACACACACACACACACACACACACACACACACACACACACACACACATATTGAATGATTATATGTAGCATAGCTGCCGTGTGCCGATGTCAGTATCGTTCCAATAAAGAAAAGGAGAAGAAAGTTTAGAAGAAAAAAAAACAACGACAATCGAATTTGGTTCAAACCAAAGCATTCAAGTAAATTTTCAACACAAATTCAAATTATTTATACTAAAAACTTATATGTATTCAGTGAAAAGGAAAAAAATCTGTCTTTCGACATTAGATGCAAATTATTGCTATTATCATTAGAATACGTAATGGAATTGTTTTCGATTGTTTGTTTATCCCATCGTTAATAATATATACAAATATAAAATTTAATTTAAAATTGAAACCAATTTGAGTATTTATGAGAATTTAATCAGTACGTTTGTATAGAAATTTGACCTTAATGTAATTGATTAGGTAGTAAATTATACAGTTGTAATATTAACCGGACGAAGTGCGACATTGACATATTCTCGATTGGTATTTGAATGGTTCTGCCACGTTCATGCAGTTTTAAACTAAAAAAAAAAACAATCAAAATAAATAGGCCAAAAATCAAAATCGAAATTTCTAAAAAAAGCTCTCTGAAATCATACAGAAAAGCTCTGAAATTACACAACCCATATGCAGTGAATAATCAAAAAAAAAACCTCTCCCGGAAATCGAGGATAAAACTTTTCGTTGAGCAAAAAGTAGAAAATCATCATAATGTGGTAGCACCAATTTTCGATTCAAATACATAATCGTTTATGCGATATCGTACTTCATCAGCCAGCCAATCTTATCGAAATTTAGGTAAAACTTGAAGATTAATGCACATACTTTTGAAACTATTTTTACATATATATATTTTATTTATGAGATTCTTTTATATTCTTTTCATAAACAAAACGAAATCTTTTAATCGGCACCATATCCCCCCTCCACCCCCTGCAAAAACATTTTTCCACCATATTTTACAAAATGTGTTTCCATTTTTGACGCTTTGATATTTTCTTTGTCACCATTTTAATGTAGTTTGAAATGCACCCATTTAACTTTATCATCCGATCTATATATTTTTTACGACTTTCCTTCCCCTATACACAATGTTCAGTATCGACAGATCTTCCATATATGCCTATATCTATATATGTGTGTGTTTCTTTTTTTCTTATTCATAAATGCATGCCAAGTACAATTAAAAATAATTTTATTTGCAAAAGTTTTGCAGTAAAAGCAAAGCTTTATAACTCTATCTATCTATATATATGAGACATTAATTTTTCGTTAACATTTTAATCAAATTGAATGTTGATTGGGAATTGAGTTGTGTCACCCCTTTTTATGTATTTATGTTATAATTTAAAACGCATTGTTGTCTCTTATCTGCACTGATAGCTTTTCTCTCTCTCTATAACTACCTCAGCGTTAAATGTGCACGACGTAGAAAAGGAAAAGAAAAGGATAGAGAAAAAGAGAAATAAAATGAAATCAAATGCCTAGATTTCTTGTGTCTTCGGAGACATAGAAATTAAAAGATTAAGTCAAATTCAACTAAAAGTATCACAACTTATCTGCAATGTATGGTCGGCATACTTTGAATTAACTCAACGTATTATTGTTATCATTTGAAATGGAAATGGAACAAAGATAAATAGACATTGAAAAGTTATGCAGTTATCAAGGAAACATATCATATCATAATATAAAATGGATTTGGTGAATTCAGTATACGCGCATGCACATACATTCCAGTTTGCATTAAATTAAACGTTCTGTCAAGTAGAATTTAATAATAGTTGCCAGGAATACCTCTACCGCCCTATCTCATGCTCGAAATGCTTTTTTTTTCGCTAAAAATTACGAAGCTCGCAATTGCGTCACAATCACATAAACACACATACACGGACGCACATATATGTAGAGACAATTTTACGCATTCCATACAATCCGAGTTTAAAATAGCTACTGATCTCCGTCTTCACGATTTAAATATTTCTTTCATTTTTTTGCAATAAATTTGATTAAGCAGCTATTTTTACTTTCTTCCTTTTACGCCACCACTTCGAGATGAAGCTTTTAACATTAAATCAGCTGGTATTCAAAGCCAAACTCTTTGCGGCTTTATTTTTTTTAATGCTTTCATTCTCTTTCGTTTTGTTGGTTTTTTTGTTTGTTTTTCCTCTTTTCATTTCCCTCGGTCATACACATTTTAGTCATTTAGTGTGTCATTTATAGTCTTGTATTTCAAATGTGATATATTCATAACAGACATATGTACTATACTATAACTATTACATCTATTGAATATATCGAGAAGAGAGTATGTTATTCAGCGCTTATGGCTGAGTATTGAGTAATGTCTGAATAAAAACATACTCTCCTCTCGATATTTTCATTAGATATTTGCACCATATTATACAATTGTTGGTAAACTTTTTATGATGAGTCTCATTTCCGAATCATATACATACAAAAAAAAGATGATAAAACTTTCGTAACGACGAATTATATATTTTTTTTCTGTCGCTTAAAGATCAAATTTTATTAATACATACATCCTATCACAAAGAGACACAATAAAAAAACTGTATAACATTAATTGCGCGCATGGTGCAGGTGCAAGTAACGAATTACGAATTAAAAAAATAGAAAAAAAAGAGGCTTTGAGTACTTATATAAAACTGAATGTAATTGTAACAAAAAAAAAGTGTGATTCCAGGTGTTTTATTCAACATCATTTACTTTACAAATTGGTACAATGGTACTTCAAACTATATATGCTAGTTCTACTTTTAACTGTGTAAAAAAAAATAATTGAAGAAGACAAAACCAAAACACTCACACACATGTATTGTGGATGGATTGCCGTGAGCGGGCATATAGCAACGAAATGTAGCCCGAAGTTATGTTGATGTTAATGTTGTTGTTGTTAAGATAAATGCAGTGTGCTTTGTTCAATCATGGTGTGGTTACCAAGCGAACCCGAACTGATTAGCTTGAAAGACGCTCCAATTCAATGAATGCTATCAAAGTGTATGTGTGCGCGATGATGATGTAGCTGATATATATAGAAGATATTTGAAACGCAAACGCAATTTTAAACTTCTATTTGCCGTCGCTCTTTCAAATATTTCTAGACTTCTTCTTTTTTTCTTTTATATGTATGTGTATATTGTATGTGTGGGGGTGACATGGTGACATTTATTGGGCATTCTTCACGATTCTTGGGTGTATGTGATCTTTTCTTTTCCTTTATATATTCAATTTCCTCTTTGTTTGTTTCTTCAATGGCAATAATGTGGCGAGTATGCTTTTCGCGTCGTTTCTGAACGATTTAAATAAATCCGTCAACTTACCGATTAGCCACGGTAACAAAACACTTTGGCCACCATCGAATTTATCGAAAGAAATATTTGCTGTATTTTTTTGTTTCATTTCTTTTGTTGATGTATTTTATTCCCAAAGTAACTCTATACAATTAATAATACTCTGGATTTAGTTTTGTTCCCATCTTCTTGTGTAGAATTTTTTTCTATAATTTGTGTGTGTGTATTTTTTTTATCTATGAGTATTTTTTTGGCATCTGTATATTTCTC